TGTTACATCCAGAAAATGGAATATTATTCAGTGCTAAAAAAAAAAGATCAAAACATGAAAGGACACAGAGGAACCTTAAATGCGTATTACTAAATGAAAGAAGCCAATCTGAAAAAGCTACATACTGTATGACTCCAACTACGTGACATTCTGTAAAAGGCAAAATGAAGACAGTAAAAAGACCAGCGGTTGTCAGAGAATGGCAGGGGAAGTAGGGTAGGGATGAACAGGTGGAGTAGAGAATTTTTGGGCAGTGAAAATACTGTTTCATACCATAATGACGGATACATGTCATTATATATTTGTCAAAACCCGTCAAATGTACAACACCAAGAATGAACCCTAATGAAAACTATGGACTTAGGGTGATTAGGTCAATGCAGACACATCAATTGTAACAAATCTATCACTTTCGATTTGGAGGAGGCTAGGTATGTGTGAGGTCAGGGGGTATATGAGAAATCTCTGCATCCTGTCCTCAATTTTGCTGTGAACCTTAAACTACTCTAAAAATATAAAGTCTTAATAAAAGAAAGTTACACACACACACACACACACACACAAGCTGAGAATTTTCCAAAGTTAATGAAAGATCTCAAATCAGACCTCAAATCACAGATTCAAAAGCAGTATCAAGAAAAATATATTCCATGGCCTCATAAAAAAATATCTAAACACCATATTCAAACTGTTAGAAAAAGATACAGACTATATTGAAGGATGGCAGAGAAAGATATGTAACATTCAAAAGAACAAAGATAAGGATTAAAACCAACTTCTCATCAAAAACTCAGTACCCAGAAAATGATACAGTGACATCTTGAAAATGCTGAAAGAAAAAACCATCAAATCAGAATTCTATAACCAAGGGAAATATTTTTCAAAAATGAAGAAGATTCAATATACCACTTTCAGTAAATGGGAGAACTAGGCAGAATATCAACAAGTAAACAGAAGACAAACAACACTATAATCCAACAAGACCAAATACATCTAGAAAACACTCTATCCCACAAGAGCAGAATACACATTTTCCTCAAGTGCACATAAAATATTCTCCAGGATATCATATGATGGCAATAAAACAAGCTTCAATAAACATAAAAAGATTTTTTAATATACAAAGTATGTTTTCCAATCATAATGAGTGAAATTAGAAATAACAGAAAGAAGAAATTTGGAGAATTGACAAATACATGGAAATTAAACAAAACACTCCTAAATAACCAAAGCGTCAAAGAAAAACCACAAGAGAAAGTAAAAATATCTTGAGATGAATGAAAAGGAAAATATATCTTGAAAACATAAAGGATTAAGTTAAAGCAGTACTTAAAATGGAAATTTACATCTATCTAACACCTGTATTAAGAGAAAGATCTCAAATCAATAACCTAAACTTCTACCCTAAGACACAGAAAACAGAGCAAACTAAATCTAAAGAAAGCAGAAGAAAGAAAGTAATAAAGAATATAGGAGAAACTATGAGAAAACAGAAAAACAAGAAAATCAACAAGATGAAAAAGTTGGTCTTTTGAAAACTAACAAAACTGACAAATGACAGAACTAACAAAACTAACAAAACTGACAATTAGCAGAGGAAAAAAAGAGAAACCTCAAATAACCAAAAACAGAATGGCAGCGGAGACATTACTACCAAACTTACAAAAGTAAGACACAAACTATCACAGGTGACTCAACAAGAAATAAAAAACCTAAATAGAACTACAATAAGACATTGAATTAGTAATCAAAAACTATCCACCAAGAAAAGCCTAGGCCCAGATGCTCTCATTGGTGAATTCTGTCCAACAATTAAAGAAAAATTAATACCAAGTCTTCACAATCTCTACCAAAAACACAACAGGAAGGGAAAATGTTCAACTCATTCTATGAGGGAGTATTAGCCTGATACCAAATCCAAAGACATCACAAGAAAGCTACAGAACAGTATCTCTTGTAAATGCAAAACTTCTCAACATAATGTTAGGATACCAAATCTAGAAACAATGTAACAAAACAGTCTGGCAGTTTCTCAAACAATTAAATATTGAGTTAGCATATGACCCAATAATCCACTCCTAGGTATGTTACTCAAGAGAAATAAAAATATATGTCCACACAAAAACTTGTCCTTTAATGTTCATAGCAAATTTATTCACAATAGCCAAAGAGAAGATACAATCCCAATGTCCATTAAATGATGAACAGATAAACACAACTGGTACAATACAGGGGAATAATATCTGGTAACAAAGGAATGAAGTACTAATGCCAAAACACAGATGAACCTGAAAACATTAAGCAGAGTGAAAAAAGCCATTCACAAAAGACTGCGTATTACATAATTCCATTTATATGGAATGTCCAGAATAGGCAAATCTAGAGACAGAAAGTAAACTAAAAGTTGCTTAGGGCTGAGTGAGATGAGGGCTTTGGATTACTAGTAAGTGTATAGGGTTTCTTTTCACAGTGATGAAAAGTTCTAGAATTAAACTGTGGTGATGGTTGCACAACACAGTTAATATACTAAAACCCATTTGCTGTACACTTTAAATGATGAAAGTACTACACAATGAATGAACTGTATAGTATGTGAGTTATATCTCAATAAAGCATTTACCATAAAAATAGAGAAATACTTTTTCAGACAAACAAAAACAGACAATTAATTGGCAACAGGTCTACATTAAAAGAACTGATAAAGGAAGTTCCTTCAACAGAAAAAAATATGATGCTGGACAAATTGGGAGCTACACAAAAAAATTAACAGCCCTTGAGACGGCACAAATAAAAGAAAACACAGAATTCTTTATTTCTTATTTCCATTGCTCTAAAAGTCAATAAACTATCTAAAGCAAAATAATATCATGTATTCTGTGATATAATCTATGCAAAAGTAAATGCATGACAAAAATAACAGAAAGGAAAGTAGAAAGGGACAGGGAGTCTATGTGAAACAGTATGACATTATTTAAAGGTGACTGTGATTAATTAAATATGTGTATTGTAAGCTGCAGAGCAACCACTAAATATTTTTAAAAGGAGATATATAAGTCAACAGTAGAAATTAAATGGAATCATAAAATACTCAACAAATACAAAAATGGTCAGAAAGAGAAGAAAACAATTAAAATACACAGCTTTCAAAATGACAGATTTTGATCCAATCATATCAATAATTACATTAAATGTAAGTGTAAGACAATTTAAAAGACTGAAATTGTCACACTGAATGAAAAAATAAAAAGACTGTTAGGCTGGATAAAAAAGAATGACAATTAAATGAAAAGTAAAACACAGTTTGACTATAAAGATAAAGAATAACCAAGGAGACAACTATCAACAGTCTACTAATGGTGACAAAAACCTATCAACTGATAAAGATTATTGCATCTCAAAAAGTAACTACTATCAGTAATTTTCAAGACTGAAAGTAACCTGAGTACCTTCAACAGATCTAAACAGTGACAGCCACCTCTAGATATAACACAATGATTTAGCAACAAAGAGCTATGGTTAATTTTATAAGGCTGAGAATTATACCTTAAATCACTGAAATTCAAATTAACACTGAAAAAAATCCTTCTTTATCTTCAATCAACTGTTATAATAATTTCAATTGGTTATCATACTTTTTGAAAAGTTCACCAAAATACTTAAACATCTCACATGACATTACAATGCAAAAATATTATCATTAAATAACTTCACAATTGAGTAACTAAGGCAGAAGAGAAAAAAATTCCAACAAATGATTTTTGCGACATTGTGATTTATAGTAATAAATATATACTTGATCTTTGCCCCTGGCACATAGCTCCTAAAACACTTGTAATTTCCTAAGTGAAAAGAGTAATAAAGGTATCTAACAATCTCCTTTCAGGTACACTAGAGATTATGTTAATGAACATACTTCTGGAAAGACCCTAAGGATAAGGGCTGAGTGCCAGGGGAATCAATCAAGGTACAAGAGGATTGGAACTTTCATTCTCACCCCACAACCTTCAAGAAAAGGAGAGAAGCTAGCTGGAGGTCGACCCAATCACCAATGACAAATGATTTAATCAATCGTGCCTGCATAGTGAAGCCTCCATAAAAATACCTGAACTACAAGGTATAGTAAGCTTCCAGACTGGAGAATATGTTGGGTACTAGGAGAGTGACAAACCTGGAGAGGGCATGGAGATTCACACCCCTTCCTCCATATCTTGGCCTATGCATCTCTTTCATCTGGCTGTTCCTGAGTTATATCCTTTACCAGTCAACTGGTAAGCAAACTGTTCCCCTGAGTTCTGTGAGCCATTCTAGTAATTTAATTGAACCCAAGGAAGGGGTCATGGGAGCATCTGATTTATAGCCAGACGGTCAGGGGCACAGGTAACAACCTAGACTTTGCAACTGGCATCTAAAAGGAGGGAGAGTCCTGCGGAACCAAGCCCTTAACTTTTGGGATCTGACACTGAGTGTCAGCTTTCCTTAAACTGTAGGACACTCAGTGTCTGCCAGAGAGCTGGAGAATTGCTTGGTGTGGCAGGGAAAAAGCCCTACACATTTGATGACCAGAATGAAGTGCTGAGAGTAGAGGAGACAGACAAGAGTTTTTCGCATACAATTTTAATGGCCAAAATAGTAATAGGCCCCATTACTGGAGCCATTAAGTGACTTTTTAAGTGTTATTATCTGAATTTTATTGATGAAGAAATAGAGGCAGGCTCAAAGTAGTGTCTTCCTAAGGTATTTACAGTAAGCTGAAACAAAGATTCAAATGCAAGTGTATCTAATTCTGAAGGTCACGTTTTTAATTTCAACACTATGCCTTTCATAACTCAGTTGTATAAGCTATAGGTAACATGATCCCTATAAATTTTAACAGACTCTAGAATTAACAAGAAGCACATACACCCTTATTCAGAGAAATCTCTTCCTAATAAAAAAACAAGTATCAATTCTATGACTGCTGTAATTTCCAAATCATTCTCAACACAAAAATAAAAACATACGTGCAATTTTTCTTTTAGCCAAACACTTTGCTCTATTCGACACTTTTGTCTTCGTTTTCTGCAATCCATTCTCCTCCTTCGGTTCCTGTTACAAAACAAGAAACATGATCAGGGTGGCTGCCATTAAAAGTAGTACTCTTACATGGAAACAACCTTAGATGTCCATTGACAAATGACTGAATAAAGAAGCTGTGGTATACATACACACACACACATACACACACAATGGCTGTATAGCACAGGGAACTATATTCAATATCTTATAATCTTTAATGAAAAAATATGAAAATGAATATATGTGTATATATGCATGACTGGGACATTGTGCTGTACACCAGAACTATACTTCAATTTTTTAAAAAAAGGAAAAAAAAGAAATATATATACAATGAAATACTATTCAGCCATAAAAAAAGAATAATGCCATTTGAAGAAACATGGATGGAACTGGAGATGTCATTCATTCTAAGTGAAGTAAACCAGAAAGAGAAAGGAAAATACCATATGATTTCACTTATATGTGGAATCTAAAAAAAAAAGACACAAAAGAACTTATTTATAAAACAGAAACAGACTCACAAACATAGAAAACAAACTTATGGTTACCAGGGAGAAAGGGGGTAGAAAGGGATAAATCGAGAGTTTGAAATCTGCAGGTACTAACTACTTAATATAAAAAAGATAAACAACAACTTTATACTGTATAGCACAGGAAACTATATTCAATACCTTCTAATAAACTATAATAAAAAAATGAAAATAAATATATGTATGTATATGTATGACTGAAACATTATGCTGTACACCAGAAATTGACACATTATAAACTGACTATACATCAATTAAAAAAGAATGCGCAAAAAAAACAAAAGTAGTACTCCGTCTGCTATACAGCTAACAGATGCCACTGAGCCCCTGAATAATCAGTAGTTGTTGTAAATGTTCACAAAAATAGACATATAGATCAACGGAACAGGATAGAAAGCCCAGAAATAAACCCATATCAATATAAATAAATATGGTCAATTAACCTACAACAAAGGAGGCAAGAATATACAATGGAGAAAAGACAGTCTCTTCAGTAAGTGCTGCTGGGAAAAGTGGACAGCTACATATAAGAGAATGAAATTAGAACATTCTCTAATACCATAAATAAAAATAAACTCAAAATGGATTAAAGACCTAAATGTAAGACCAGACATTATAAAACTCCTAGAGGAAAACATACACAGAACACTCTTTGACATAAATTGTAGCAATATTTTTTGGCTCCGTCTCCCAGAGTAATGGAAAGAAAAATAAAAACAAACAAATGGGACCTAATTAAACTTAAAAGCTTTTGCACAGCAAAAGAAACCATAAACAAAACAAAAAGACAAACTACGGAATAGGAGAAAATATTTGCAATGTGACCGACAGAGCTTAATTTCCAAAATACACAAACAGCTCATACAGTGCAATATAAAAATAAAAAAACTGAAATTAAAAAAATAGGCAGCAAACCTAAGTAGATATTTCTCCAAATAAGACATACAGATGATCAACAAGCACATGAAAAGATGCTCAACATCGCTAATTATCAGAGAAATGCAAAGCAAAACCACAATGAGGTATTACCTCACTCCAGTTAGAACGGTCATCATCAAAAGGTCTACAAATAATAAATGCTGGAGAGAGTGTGAAGAAAAGGGAACCCCCTATTACACTGTTGGTGCGAATGCAAGTTTGTGCAACCACCATGGAAAACAGTACAGAGGTTCCTTAAAAAACTAAAAGGAGAGCTACCATATTATCCAGCAATCCCACTCCTGGGCATGTATCTGGAGAAACTGCTAATTCGAAAACATATCTGCACCCCAAATACAGAAGCACTATTTACAATAGCCAAGATATGAAAGTAACCTAAATGCCCATCAATAGATGAATGGATAAAGAAGATGTGGTGTACACACATACACACACACACACAGAGGAATATTACTCAGCCATAAAAATAATAATAATAAATAATGCCATTTGCAGCAACAGGGATGGACCCAGAGATGATCATACTAAGACAGAGAAAGACAAATAGCATATCACTTATATATGGAATCTAAAAAACAATGACACAAATGAACTTATTTACAAAACAGAAATAGACTTATAGACATAGAAAACAAACATGGTTACCAAAGGCAGAAGGGGTGGCGGGGAGGGATAAATTAGGAGTTTGGGATTAACAGATACACACTACTATATATAAAATAGATAAACAACAAGGACCTACTTACTGTATAGCACAGGGAACTATATGCAATATCCTATAATAAACCTATTAGAGAAAAGAATCTGAAAAAGAATATATAAACTGAATCCCTTTGCTGTACACCTGAAACTAACACAATATTGTAAATCACCTTACTTCAGTTAAAAGAAAATACTTACTGTGGGGGAACAGGTACTCTCATATCAATGATGGGATAAAATGGATGCAGTATGTTTAGAGGGCAAATTGGCAATAACTTCTAAAATCATATACACTCTTTGTCCAGTAAGATACCTCTAGGAATTCATTCTACAAATACATGCACACATAAGCACAAAGACATAAACACAATAATGTTCAGAATAGAATGTTTTGTCATTATAAAAGACCATAAAAACAACCTCAATCAATGTTACTCAAAGTATGATCTATAGATAGGTGATAATCAGCATACTGCTTGCTACTGATCTGTAACAAAATAAGCACAGAAACTGAAAATAAGCTTTCAAAAACTTTCACAGCAATTTGACACTGCTACCACATCAATGCACATAAGTGGACATCCATGGAGAAAGCTACAGACCAGTCATTTGCAGAAAGACCAAATTACTATATGTGATCTTTCTATTGTAATTACTCATTAAAATCCAAAATATATAAATTTCTGAGAAAATGTAGGCATCTATTTATTTTATAACCCATTGTTTCAATTACCATTTTAATTTTTAATCAAGTCTATTTGTTAAATTATACTTTAATACTATTAGCTAAACAAAAGAAGTAAAGCTCCTATTATTGACTTTAATCCTTACTTACAGATTTCAAAACAAGCTTCAATGAACTTCTGTCACCAAAAGACAAATCTTTCTGAATGAAGCAGTAGTAGTAAAACAAATGATGATCCAAATATTTGTAAAGAAATGAAGGGCAGAAGTTTTATTCTAGTTTTATTCAGAAGTATGATCCTTCATACACTAAGGTTTTTTTTTTAATTCAAGTATAGTCAGTTACAATGTGTCAATTTCAGGTGTACAGAACAATACCTCAGTCATGCATATACATACATATATATTCATTTTCATACTCTTTCATTAAAGGTTATTACAAGATATTGAAATATAGTTCCCTGTGCTATAAAGAAGAAATTTGGTTTTTATCTATTTTTAAATACCGTGGTTAATATTTGCAAATCTCAAACTCCCAAATGTATCCATTCCTGTCCCCTTTCCCCCAGTAACCATAAGACTGTTTACTATGTTGAGTCTTTGTTTTGCAGATGAGTTCATTAGCATTAGTGCCCTCTTTTTTCTTTTTTTTTTTAGACTCCACATATGAGGGATATCATATGGTATTTTTCTTTCTCTTTCTGGCTTATTTCACTTAGAATGAAGATCTCCAGGCCCATTTATGTTGCTGCAAATGGCATTATTTTATTCTTTTTTATTGCTGAGTAGTATTCACACATACTAAGTTTTGGTTTTGTACCTACAACTGATGGTGAAGTATAACAATAGGAGTGTATTATTTCTAAATATTTACTGAGTAATGAAACTATGAAAACAAACAACATTTATGCAATAACCTATTATGAAAAAGAATATATATGTATAACTGAATCACCATGCTGTACACCAGAAATTAACACATTATAAAATCAACTATATACTTCAAGAAAAAAACTCACATATAAACATAAAGAGTTAAGTTCAAAATCAAAAGAATTCTTTGAAAGAGCACTGAAATAACAAGCTGATACAGATGCTTAATATTTCATATATAAATAATAGCAGTTTATATATTTCTCATAAATAATAGATGTGCTAAAGATTAAAAAACTATACAAAACTGTCAAAAAATTAGCAGAAGACTGTAAAACTGTGTGCTTGGAAATGCTGGATGAATCAAACAAAGAAGGTAGCTCAACTACCATATTCCAATGACAGCATAGTTCAGCATATTCAGGAAGTAGACCATGATATGGAAAACTAACTAACAAAGCAAGCAACACACTTTCATTGCAACTTCATAAATGCACAGATAATTGCAACACAGCAGTCCTTCTAAGAAATGTATAATGAACTCAATGGTACAAAAAAATCAGCTTCATTGTTAACAAATATCTTGAACTATATAAAACCATACAGCATTCAACTTTTAAATTTTATGTAGTCAATAGTAACAATGGGAAAACATCCTAGACTAAGCAGTTTGTGCCAGAATGTGACAGAATCAATACACTGTTTCCATTACTGAAAAAAAAAATCAACCAAAGTAAACACTGTGCATAGCAGAAACTGTAAATTACATAGACTAAGATTAATGCATTCAAGAAAATTCTCTTTATCATGTGATTATATATAAATGGGTCATAAACAACTGTTATTAATTACTGACACAAGACTGATAAAAGGGAAAAGTTCTATGGAGATTTCTAAACTACAAAATGAGTGCTTAGTGTTTCTGCAACTTTTTAAGATGTAGAGTGAAAACCAAGACTCACTTGTCTAATTACCCTCAGTATTTTCAATGAACTTAATGCTTCCATACAAGGAAGGAATTTTACCAGCTGATAACACCAGAGGACAGAAAGGAAAGATTATTAGAAGAATAAAGATTCTACAGATTGTGATGTGTCCTATAATTTTACAACAAACATCAATGAAATAGGTGGTAATCTTTATATTATCTACAAAAAGTTAGCATCCAAGACCTTACAAATTTGATAGAACCTTTTTAATTTTATGTTATTTCAAAAAAGATTAACCCAGAGGAAATTCATGGATCTGAACTACATTTCTTTCATCAAAAGATAACTGCAATGTAATTATAACTTTATAGGAAATTTGCTAGAACTTGCTACCAATGATCAAAAATGAATTTTGAAATACAGCATTTTCTAGCTCATTTTGAATAAAAACTTTAAATACATCTTATTGAAACTGCTTTAAAAATTCTTCCCATTCCTTACTGTCAGAATGATTCCTCTACTTTGAATTTTCTTTTAAACATTGATTTTAGATACGTAGTATCTCCTGTGATATTAGCATTATTAACCCAAACTAGAATAAGTTAACAAGTAAGAAGAAAGCTCATTTGTCAAAATAAGAACTTCACAGATAAACATAAGTGTCCACTGAAAGTGTTCACTGAGATAGATGTTTAAAATGGGGTTCACTATTACACATACAACTTTGTATACTTACAACTGTGGAAAGAAAAAAGTTCTGAGTATAATAGCCATTCTATATGTTAAATTGCTGTTAAACACAATTCCAAGGGCCATGTACCACTTTTTTCTATTTTACCTATGTTATGTTGGTTCTGATCATATTTATTGAAGTGAAACCTTTTACCTGTTGTATCTAACAATGAAAGATGCAGGTTCATATTGTTTTTTTAATTTCATTTTTCTAGTAACCCATTTTTAGCGTATTTTTTTAAATATCAGTCTGTGACAGATGGGAAATTTTTTTAAAAAGCTGGTCTTGCATACTGACTATGTGAAAAGAATGAACTTAAATAATGATGAAAAACGACATGTAAAATAAATTATGGTCCTTTCAGAATACCATGCTTCCTTCTAAAAGAATAAGTTTCATTTATAAACATTCATAAAAAAATTTCCAATATATGTGATTAAAGCAAATCAGGATGCAAAATAGTAAGACAGTATGGTTCCATTCTCTCTACACAACCTACAAAAAATAATTTCAGAAAAATAAAGAAAGCAATTAAAATTGCATATAAACCTCATTCTCAGCATACCTTTGTTTTGTATGGTTTTTTAATTGTATTATTTAATTATTTTATTTTGGTGGGGGGAGGTAATTAAGTTTATTTATTTTTAGAGGAGGTACTGGGGATTGAATCCAGGACCTCACGCATGTTAAGCATGTGCTCTACCACTTGAGCTATACCCTCCCTGGCTCAGCATACCTTTGAATTTCGTATTACTTGTAGTGAAGAAATAAACACCAATTTTGAACAGACAAAATTACTCCCAGAAAGAGAAAGTCCCATCCTAAGACTTAACAAATGCAGCACAAATAGGGGATAGTCACTAAGCTTACATCAAAGCAGCATCATTCACAGAGGAGGAGGAGGAAAGAGGTAGATGAAAAGAAAAGAGACCCTGTGGCCACTGGGAGGTAAAGGAAAAGAAAAACTGGCAAAGTTAAGAATTCTATAGAAACAAAAAAGAACCAAAAAACCCAAACCCCACCCCACCTCAAAATTTAATAAGGAAGACAGAAAATGATCAATATTAGCAGATATCCCTACCTAAAAAAACCCCAAAATAATCAACTGAATATTTCAAAAGTATACAATAGATCAATGGAACAAAACAGAAAATCCAGGAACTACCCTAAAAAGATTTTAGTTTACAACAAAGGTGAAATTTCAAATCTTTGGAGAAAGGATAGATTATTGAAAAAGACTGTTGTGGGGAGTGTATAGCTTAAGTGGTAGAGCACATGCTTAGCATGCATGAGGTGCTGGTTCAAACCTAATTATCTCCCCCACCAGAAAAAAAAGAAAGAAAGAAAAAAAAAGAAAAACACTGTTAGAAGTGCCTAACCACTGAGACTCAGGTTTTTAATATATACATACATTGCTTAGGGATACAGATAAATATGGTAGAACCACAAAGAGCATGGAAAAGATAAAAATAAATACAGTGGTTATCTTCAGATGAGTGGAAAGCGATGCATCTGGGGAAGGTCACATTAAGTCAAGAGAGCTTCAAAGTTGGTAAATACAAGTGTTCAGATTTTTTTAACTATGCATTAATATTTTATGCACTCCTGTGCATAGAACATATCTGACAGTTTCTTTAAATTTAATAAGATAGATCTGTATGTGCTGTTATAGAAAAATCTCCACGTAATATTAAGTGAAAAAGCAAAACATTATGTGTAGCATGATTCCTTTCCTGTAAAAGTTTTTATTGATGGTATATGTATGAAGATTTTTTTTCTGGAAAAATACAGAAGAAATTATCTTTCATTAAATGTACACTGACAAAGGTGTACATCCTCATTTTATATCTTTCTTCACTGTTTTATTTTCAAACAGTTTTAAACTGTTTTAATTCTGTTTCTGATTTTTCGTATATACATGTATGCATACACAACTTTGTAATGTATTTGTATGTATAACTATTTTAATATTAAGATGAGTTATCCAAGTGGTAGAATCAATGGATTGTTTTGTTTTCTTCTTTATACTTTTACACTTTAAAAAAGAACTATTTAGACAAAATCCTAATTAAAAACTAGACTGCAAGGAAATTCAAAAAAATAAATATCCAACAGAAATATGAAAAAATGTTCAATCTTGCTGATTACTAAAAACATACTTCTGATTATCAAGTTGGGGAAAATAAAAAAAGTGGTAAGTCTTCGCAAGAGGACAAGGAAACTAACTCACTGACGGTAATATAAATAAGACTGTTTAGAATGCCAAGGTTCTGATAGAGTATACCATTTTAAAATTCTAAACTGATCTTGTGGGGATTTTGGAGTCAAAGATTTTTAAGCAAGCAAGTACAAAGACCTAAATTTTTAATTCTTGGAGGTGGGTATAGCTCAGTGATAGAGTTCATGCCTAGCACGCACATGGTCCTGGGTTCAATTCCCAGTACCTCCATTAAAAAAATAAAATTTTGGTTCTTAAAAGAAAGTTAGAGTAAGATAAGTGAATTGTGGAGAGGAAATAACTGAAGGCAGAGAAGCAAGTTTAGAGTCTGCTACAAAAACTCAAATAACAAATGATCAGCGGGGTAAGGGAACAGCTCAGTGGTAGAGGCATGCTTAGCATGCATGAGGTCCTGGGATTTAATCCCTAGTACCACCATTTAAAAAAAAAAGAATGAAAAAAGGTATTTAAAACAAAACCCAAGTGATCAAGAAAAGAAATGGAAGAGGAAGAACAGATCTGAGTGTAACAGGTAAAAACTAAAGGATGTGGTGAATGATTAGGTATAAAACATGAAATAGAGGAAAGAGTTAAAGATAATTCTGAGCTTTATAACTTGAGGCAAATGTGTGGTTCTATCATGAAATAAGATAAAAGATAAAGATAAGCGGCAGGTAAACTTGGATGAAAAAACAAAGACTTATTTTAGTTCATTGCCTTACTGGATGTGACCTACAGACAGGTGGAAATCTCCAACAAATGGAAACAGGGAACAAAGGAAAAATGTTAAGAGCTAGAACAGCACTATAAAGCTTTCTACAATGAAGAAAATGTTCTATACCTGTGCTGTCTAATACAGTAGACACTAGCTGTGACTAGTGCAAAAGAGGAAATGATTTTTCCTTCTACTTAATTTTAATTAATTTAAATTTAAATAGCTACAGGTGGCTAGTCTCTATCACCTTGGACAGAGTATATCTAGGGACCTAAAAAGCATTTATTTCCATGGAGAAGGTATAGCTCAGTGATAGAGAATCTGCTTAGCATGCATGAGGTCCTGGATTCAATCTCCAGTACCTCCATTAAAAATAAATAAATAAGATGCTACGGGTAGGGGAGTATATATGTGTAGGTGGGGAGGCTAGTGTG